AGAATTGTAAAAAAAAGAGTACTGGATACCAGAAGCCAAGGCCAGACATCTCCACAGAACAAAGCAGCATGTGACAGGAGCTGACTTCGGCAGGGGAAGGAGAGGTCACCAGCGCAGAGGGAGCCTGGCGCTTGATTAAGGTAAGTGGCTAAAGGGGGCCACGAGGGAGGGGGGGACCTAATAACCCTATAGTGCCAGAAAAACGGGTTTGAAGAACAGTTTGACAACTTACCTGGGGTCTGCTGGGATAGGGGTTGTAGTAGGGGATAGGTGCAGTAGTGTGTGTGTGTGTGTGGGGTGCAATGTGTGTGTGCTTAAAAAGTGTGTTTGTGTGTGTTTGTGTGAGGGGTGCAGTGTGTGTACAGGGGTGCATTGTGTTTGTGAAGGATGTAGTGTGTGTGTGTGTGTGTTTTTGAAGGGTTCAGTTTGTGTATGAGGGATACTGTGTGCGCATAAGGGGTACAGTGTGTGTGATAGGTAGTGTGTGTGACAGGTAGTGTGTGTGGGGGGCAGTGTGTGTGCATGGGGGCTGTGTGTGTATGTGTGCAGTCTGTGTATGTATGGGGTGCAGTCTGTGTATGTATGGGGGTAGTGAGTGTAAGTGGTACTGTGTGTGTGAGGGTTACAGTGTTTGAAGGTTAGTGTGTGTATAGGGGGCAGTGTGTGTGTATATGGGGGAAATAATTTTCATATCTCCCCTCCCTTCTTACCGTTGCCTGGGAGGGGGGACAGTACTTATCCCTGGTGGTCCCAGTGGTGACAGTGAACTCTAGCAGCTCCTGAGGCTAGAGTTCACTCTCGTGAGATTCGGAGTGTTGCTGTGGTCTCCGAGAGGGGAACCCGGCAGAGCTGCAGGTTAGAGCTCCCCCAGGTCATCTCTTCCTCCACTGCCGGCTGCCAGCATTACACTGCTAGTGGGCCGGTGTTCCCAGTGAGGGAGATCTCTGATCTCCCCTCTGGTCCAGCAGAGCCGGCAGGGGAGAGTGAGGCACGGTTCCCGGTGCTATGACCATATGATCATAGCACCAGGGAAATATTTTGTGGTGCCCCTGGGTGCAGCACACAGTTTTGGAACCGCTGTGTTATAGTGTGTTTATTCTTTTATTTAATTGTTAGATGGATTCACTGATAGAACATTCCTGGTCACAGTCCCTGCAGTCAATCGTGTATATAACATCTCTTGATGTATAGGAGCATGATCTATTGATGTGATATGTTTTACTGTTGTGAGTGGCTATGGTATTTGTGTAGATATGCTGATACATTTTGCAATGTGGTTTATTGCCAGGTGTGAAATCCTTCTCTGTTTCAAACCTCTCTGTGGGTAGTTTCCTACTAACAGCAGACAACCACAAAGAGTATAGAGAGTACGAAGTCACCCTGATGCCATATTATCTAGGTTTGTATCTTTTATCAACCTATATTGACCTTGTGGAAAGACAGATCCATTGTAACTCTAAATGTCAGAACCAGTGTTTACTTTAGGGAACTTGCAGGGAGTGTGGAAATACTTCTTTAAAAAAATTTTTTTTTAAATTTATTTGTATTGAGGCACATTTATTACAGACACTGTTTTTGTAATACTGACATTGCCAGACGGTTATGTTTAGAAGTGTTAAGGTATAGCATAAACAATGGCATACTTCCTCAAAGTAGCTGAGCTCACACATAATAACATTTGTATAGTGCTAGATGACATTGCACTTGTAGTCACATAAAGATTATTCAGGCTTCTTTTATATTAAAGACCTAGCATAACATAAGTGCCTCCAGTAGGAAAATAGTAGGATCTAAGAATATACTAAGTCAGGGGTGGGCAATCTGCAGCTCTCCAGATATGTTGGACTACATCTCCCATAATGCTCTTAGGGCTATAATGCTAGAAAAACATCAAGGAAGATGTAGTCCAAAACATCTGGAGGGCCGCAGATTGCCCACCCCTGCACTAGGTGATTAAAATCTAATGAACAAACAAAGCACTACTACCTGATTCAACTAATAGTGCAGAACAAATTAGTTGTGTAAGAAGGGTAGAATCGCCTTGCATCGTACCGAACTCTAGGATAAGGTAGCTCAGCTAGGATATATAACCCCAAACCTAGGTGGTATATATGTTAGAGCTCAATGCACTCCACATGTTATTTTAAGTGCCATACATGTCTATATTCAAGGTCTAATGAGAGTGTAAGTGACATTTATTAAAAAATAAAACGTTTAGGAAAATGAATGAGCCATAAGCAACAAAACAAAAGTATGAAGTGTTCACAACTAATTGTGAGATAATGCAGTGGCCCTGCCAGCAGCCTCCTATTTGAGATAAGTTAAGGATCTCCTGAGATAACTAAATCAAAGTTTATAGTCATGACCAGCATTTGAGAAAGCAAAAAATTGTTATGAATACTTTATTACTTAATTTTTTTTCATATAATTTATAGCATATCCAGTGTTTAATTACTTAATATTTTTTATAATAATATTTATACTCTTGAATAAAATCCTGAACTTAATGAAATGTTGACCAAACCGTGATTGCTGTATACTACTGTTCCTGGTTTAAAACAGTTGACTTTCAAGCTACAAGATCACAAGAACCATTTTCTTTGCATTGTCTGATTTTGGGAAGAGGAACACTGGCTAATGGAGACTTTGCCTCCACAACTTCTTCCAGATTTCCCTCCCTTGCATTGAGGGTTTAAGGGTTAGTTTTCCTATAAGTACTACATGGAAATCTTGATCCAGGTCTCTGTGTTCCAACCTGGTGATTTCTGATGTGTAGGGAAGAGAAGGGGAGTGGGAAATATTAGCTTGGTGTACCACTACTGTTTCAGGAGATATAAATAAAGACACTGCAAGCTATTAGTGTATAGCAGCGATGTTTCAGGAGATACAGGAAGGAAGTACACACCCCAACAGGAAACACGTGCAATAGAGAATAAACCATAGAGTTAATTGCATGTAAACCAAACATAACATCCATAACATCTCCCTCTTTTAGTATTAATACATCAACACTGTGAAAAACTGTCCTTGTAATAACATTCTAGAGGTTAAGTCTCTCAGGTGGTTGTGAATGTCTACCACTACGAGTGAAGACTGGTCCAGGTTGTGCAAATAGTCATTTAGTCCTATCTGAGGTTACTGGACTCTTCCCAGCACTTACTGGCATGCTTTGAACTTGACTGCTGTCAGGTCCTGCTTGCTCAGTGCTGTCATTAGTACTAGGTCTGTGCAGGGCCGTCTTTAACGCGGGGCAAACGGGGCAGCTGCCCCGGGCCCAGTTTCTCTTGGGGGGCCCGAGGCACCTGCCCCGTGGGCCCCGTGGGCCCCGCTGACCCCGGTGGTCGGGCAGGAAGGCGGGCGCGCGAGGGAGCACTCACTGCTTCCTCTTCAGCTCCCTCGCGCACCGCACTGATGCCGGAGCCGGAAGATGACGTCATCTTCCGGCGCCGGCATCCCTATGCGGCGCGCGAGGGAGCTGAAGAGGAAGCAGTGAGTGCTCCCTCGCGCGCCCGCCTTCCTGCCCGACCAGCCACCCGCCCAGGAGCCCAGCAGCACTCCAAAAGGTAAGGAGGCTGGGGGGGATTACATTTAAAAAAAAAAAATGTGTGTTTGTGTATGTGTGTGTTAGTGTGTGTTTGTGTTAGTGTATGTGTTTGTGTGTGTATGTGTGTGTTAGTGTTTGTGTATGTGTGTGTTAGTGTGTTAGTGTATGTGTGTGTTAGTGTATGTGTGTTAGTGTGTGTGTTTATGTGTGTTAGTGTGTGTGTTTGTGTGTTAGTGTATGTGTGTTAGTGTGTGTGTTAGTGTATGTGTGTTAGTGTGTGTGTTTGTGTATGTGTGTTAGTGTGTGTGTATGTGTGTTAGTGTATGTGTGTGTGTGTGTTAGTGTATCTGTGTGTTAGTGTATGTGTGTGTTAGTGTATGTGTGTGTGTGTCAGCATGTCTGTGTGTGTGTCAGCATGTCTGTGTGTGTGTGTCAGTATGTCTGTCTGTGTGTCAGTATATATGTGTGTATATATCTGTGTGTGTCAGTATGTATGTCTGTCAGTGCGTCAGTATGTCTGTTAGTGCATGTGTATGCATGTGTCAGTATATCTGTCTGTGTGCCAGTATGTCTGTGTGTGTGTGTGTCAGTATATCAGTGTGTGTGTCAGTATTTCTCAGTGTATGTGGGTGTCAGTATATCTGTCAGTGTGTGGGTGTCAGTATTTCTGTCAGTGTATGTGTGTCAGTATGTTGATCAGTGTATGTGTCTGTGTGTGTGTGTCAGTATGTCGGTATATGTGTCTGTGTGTCAGTATGTCTGTATATGTGCCTGTGTCAGTATGTCTGTCAGTACGTCTACCAGTGTATGTGTCTGTGTGTGTGTCAATATATGTACCTGTGTCAGTGTGTCTGTCAGTGTATGTGCCTGTTTATCTGTATGTAGTCAGTGTATGTATCTGTGTATCTGCTTGTGCGTCAGAGTGTGTACCTGTGCATCTGAGCCGCAACTTTAAATACAAATACACCCCTCCATTCAAACTTCAACACTACATATAAAACACACTCCTGCATTGAAACGGCAACACTACATACAAGCACACTCCTACATTCAAAAACAAACACTATACATAAATGCACACTTGCATTCAAACTCCAGTACCACATACAAACACATTCACACAAACATACTCCATACAAACACATGCTTACATTCAAACATACTAACATGGCTCCGTGCTAAATACAACCCTGCAAGCATGAGAAATTGGTAGAATCCCAGCTGTCAAAGCATTGTTGGAGTTGCACGACAGATGGGGTTCTACCTTTAGTCCAACCTTGCAATTGGGGGTCCCAATAAAATTCATTCTACTTTAGTACCGCCACTGCGTTGGGATGGATGCCGTGATTGCATACCAGGGAGTGAGGGGCGAGAGCGGCAGGGCACAGGGGCCCCAAGCAAACACTTGCCCAGGGTCCATTCGTTATTAAAGACGGCCCTGGGTCTGTGGTATCACTTATGTACACTCTTTAATGTCGACATGTGAGTGTGTCCTTGGAATACCAGGTGTGTCTGGCTTGTCAACTGGATATTGAGAATCAGGCTTCTCAGCCACTCGCAGATCCACACGATTGCGTCGGTAGAGAGTTCCTTCGATATCCACAAGATAAGAGCGTGGTGCTACTTTTTGCAGACAGGTTCCCATTCTCTAGCAACCTCTTCTATCTCCAGGAAGCAGTTTAATACGGATTTGTTCCCCAATATTCAGTTCAGGTAAATCCCTAGCAGATGAGTCATATCTAGCTTTGAACACTTGCCTCTTAAGTCGTAACTTTTCTGGTACACCTTGTATCACAGAGGGTTCAAGTAGCTTGTTGGCTACTGGTAAGGAGGTCTTTAATCTCCTTGACATCAGTCTCTGTGCTGGACTACTATCCATACCCTCTGTTGGAGTGTTTCTCCAATGTAAGATGGCTTTCCATGGGTCTTTATAACATCCATAACTACCCCCCTGCTTATTCTGTGCTTCTAATTCAGTTTTAAATACAAGGAATTTAGAATGTAGAAGTGCTTACATATACACTCAACCACCACTTAATTAGGTATACCTGTGCATCAGCTCATTAATGCAAATATCTAGTCAGTTGAGTGGTAGCAACTCAACGCATGAACGCAATCAGACACAGTCAAGAGGTTCAGTTTGTACACCTTCTAAACACTGAATTAAGGAAAATGTAATCTAAGTGACTTTAACCATGGGATGATTATTAGTGTCAGTTGTGGTTTGATTATCTTGGAAACGTTCGGAAACGGTCAGAAGAGAATGACCAGGCTAGTTTAAGCTGAATTTGGGAGGAATTAGTAGCTAAAAAGATATTTCTGGCTATTTTAGTTTGAACTTATTTTGATTAGACCATTGACCCTCTGATTGGACCAGTAGTTTCATTACTTAAGAAATTGTTCTTTAATGCAGCACTCATGAACACTAAAATTATTGAAATAACATATCTTACCTCATTGGTGAGAAAAGACATAGTCCTGCTCCTCCTCATCTTGACTCTGATTAATGTATCCCTTTCCTGAAAGACAACATAAAAAGACCACAGACATGTCAGCAAATAGGACTGGATGTTAGACAAATTACCAGTAGAGGGCAGTAAATAACTGATACAAATTGTGAAAATAATCATTTGGCACCGTGAGCTAGTATACGTTGAAAAGAATTATTCTTCCATTAAGCTGCTCACACAATGTATGTGCATTTTGAAGGAAATACGAGATTCCTTAACTGCCTGCTTATGTGTCTATATAACAATCTTACTAGGTAAATAATATTACTCAAGTGTAAAAGTGGCACTGTCACTTTTGAGTTTTTCATACAGACTATATTGGAATTTAGCTGAAATTCAGAAAGATGTATGTGAGACAAAGTACGGGCTGACTTTCACATGTAAGCTTCCATCAGGATTGTTTACTATTGTCATTTGCAACCGCGGATGGGAACAAGCATTCTATTCTACATTTACAAGAAGATCTATGGAGGATCTTGCATTCTTACAGGACCTTTCATAGACTTCTGTTTGAACTTTCATGCATGAGTGCACAAAAAGCAGATCCTAGTAGATAAAAAGAAACATGAGCAGATGAAGCATAGAAGCAGCATTCAAGCAGATACGTAACATTGAGGGATCTCAGCAAACATGGCACAGGTTAGATATTTATACTGAGTTTTATTAGATATGTTTTACAGCGATGGTTATGTTTTATACAGTAGGCAATATTATTACACAGATAACATTAAAGGGACACTTGCAAATAAAAATAGTACCTTTTAGTACATTTATCCCCAATGAAAACATGCATGCATTTAATTATGCCTTTTTAAATTTAAGTTATATCGAAAACACCGTTCGGTAGTTTGGATACGAACTTAAGGGCAGTGTGGAGGTCTCGCCTAGCCGAGTGTCCGATTTGGGTTCCAGACACTCGACGGCAAAACACCGGTGTTCGGGAGTTTTAAAAAGGCCGCCGCCACGTGTTCGTCTCCCGAATAGCGGCCACCCTGCGAACAAAGGACCCACTGCACAGATTGCCAATTACCCGTTCACAACATTGTTGCAGCCGGTAATTGGAGGCACACTTCCCACTGGGGTGGTCAGACTGTTCGGTAGTTTTATTCGCATAATGCCTAGAGTGATTCTACCGAACAATCAGACGAATGCTGCATACAGTTTCACATACATAGATACAATGTAACCGAATACATTAAAATACATGTAGTTTTCAGGACAGCCCAATGTCATCCACTACACTGCACATATGATGTAACTCCGGCAGCGTAATCATGATGTAAATAGCCAGCCTGGAACTATAGTTCTGGGCTGGCTAATGTTAATTCTGTGCAAATTGCTATGCAAAGACGTTAATTTGACTGAGAGTAGTAAGTCATATCCAGCACCTCAGGAGACCAGATGCCTGGCAGGGAATGAGGTAAGAGGACAAAGCATTGCAAAATGACCCTATTACCAGGGAACTGGGCCACGATATTCCTGGCATCATAACCACCCAAAAAAACTGTAGTCACTAGGAAGCTTGCAGCAACCTTTTAACAAACCATAAATGTAAATTCTCCTTCAAAATCAATAAATTCTTGCATGTCATCAATTGCTTGTTCAATTTTATTTATAGCCCTTTGGAATGTTTCTACTTATCATTTAATCAAGTAGTTAACAATGTTTATCACCAAGCAGCTTGTGAAATATTATTCCAGAGCAAATTTCAAAATGTTGATTGAGTGCTTCATAAATGACCTGGTTTCACATAAATAAATATGACGAGATATTGTAATCCCTCGTGCATATTGGCATTTTCTAAAACAAACCTTTATACCTGCTACTATATGATATTAGGATTCTAATAAAATGTAACTTTTTTTTTCCATTTGTTATCCAATTATATATTCAAAATCATGTGTGCCTTAAGAAAAATAGAATTGTATAAAATCTTTCTATATATATAGGATGAAAACTTTATTAATGTAGCTATTAGGGTTGTTTATTATGCAAAGAACAAAGCCTGTCTTCAGTCATCCATTTTATACCGTAACTCATCGCTCAGACGTCCGTAGTAACAAGAAATTATTGACCCAGAAAACCTGACAGCCATACAAATGGAAATGTAGGCTCTCTCGTCCCTACAAAAGAGTTATTCATTGATGAATGTCAACGGCGGGAGAAAGGAATTGTTGGTTATTAATGAACATACCAAGCCCATTTAAGCAATTTGTCGTTCTCTAAACTGGCCTGTATCCAGAAGTACAAATGAAGGTAAGGGTGGCTGTACAAAGCACTCAACAGAAGGTCGACTAATGCATTTAGTAGACCTCGGTGGACAGATACTGAATCAATCATTTGGATCATTAGACCAGAGGGAATTAATATAACTAATTTGCGGTTGGTAAGAGAATTTAGCAGCAGTTTAATTTAACTCTTTGCGGTCTATGGCTCAAATGACAGTGTAATTCCCGACTACAGCCTCCTACACAATGAACTTATAAGGTGCTTTAATCATTATAGTTGTTTTTTACATTACTGTATAAAACACAAGATTTTATGTGTATCAGTATTCTTGCAAGCATTACTTTAACTCTGTCTTACTTTACACCCCACCCCCATTATTCAGTGTGTTAAAGGGACACTATAGTCACCAGAACAACTACAGCTTATTGCATTTGTTCTGGTGAGTAGAATCATTACCTTCAGGCTTTTTGCTGTAAACATTGTCTTTTCAGAGAAAAAGCAGTGTTTACATTACAGCCTTCACTGGCCACTCCTCAGATAGCTGTTAGAGATCCTTCCTGGGTCATGACTGCCTAAAATGCATCCAAACATTCAGTATCTCCTCCCTCTGCATGCAGACACTGAACTTTCCTCATAGAGATTCATTGATTCAATTCATCTCTATGAGGAGATGCTGATTGGTCAGGGCTATGTTTGAATCATGCTGGCTCTGCCACTGATCTGCCTCCTTGTCAGTCTCAGCCAATCCTATGGGGAAGCATTGCGATTGGATCAGGCTACCACTTCTGATGATGTCAGCAGGCTGTTTGTTTTTCTGAGTCAAACAGCATGCAGAGTTACAGCTTCAGGCTTGAATACAGTAAGATTTTTACTATATTTATGGAGGCATGAGGGGCCCAGGGGGGCTAGATGGTGGCTTTAACACTATAGGGTCAGGAATACATGTTTGTGCTCCTGACCCTATAGTGATCCTTTAAAGAGGGAGGTTACAAGTTCTTCTAGATTTGCTATTAACTGTAAAGTAGTAGTGTTGAAGAGGCAAAAAGTCCATTCCCGAATTCATTGTCATATGGTCTGCAGTTCTAAAATTCTGAAACCAATCCTTGTCACATTCCATGCGATTTCCACAGTACCTGCTCTTCACCAGGATGAGAAATGAAATGTAGCATGGTTCTCTCCAAATATCCACAAGCTATGTGTGGCCAGGTATAAATGAATAAAGAATAAAAATGATCCCTACAACATATGAATTGTCCTCACACCTAACCTGCAGCAGAGTATGTGTTATTAAGAAATAACTAGGCTTCTAGGACTTATTTTAACCGGCATTGGCTCCAGAGCATTACTTATTTCCTCACTTCCTGTGCCAAGGATAAGGAGCAATGCAGTTGGTTGGTCTTTAAGCACCCACACATCTACTCAAAATATTGGTCCTTATATATAAATATAATGCTTCCCCCTAATAAATTCCAAACAACAGGGATCCCCATAAACTACTTTAGTGCTCATAATCCAGTACAAGCAAAATAGCAGGATTAAAGATTGTGAGAATGGGGAGGGTTAGACTGACATTTTTTGTTACACAGGTTATTGTGCAGAAGAACCTAAAGAAACACTCCTGCCACCACTGTAGCCAGAGTGAGTGATGTGAGACGCCATATGTCAATACTACTGTGATGTTACGGAAGTGACTTGCCAATGCAAGTGGCGAGGAAGACGAATGCAATATTCATTGCGCCAGGAGTAGATAGAATTTTGGTGCTAAGAACAAAACAATGAAGGAAGAAAGAGTATTTATAGACAGAGATGGACAATAAGAGGATATCTACCAAATGAGGAAGCCTAAGTGGTGAAACACGATTTGGCTATATTCATTTTTGTAATATATTGTAATATTTCTATTTTT